TTTATATATATTAATATAAAACTATCATCGAGTGAAATTATAAAAACTAAATTTATTATTTATCGTAATGGTCTTTAATGCTTTAATATTTAACTTTTTTTTGGATTAAACATATTTTAAAACAACATCGTTGTATATGTAAGGTAAGGCATGGCGATTTGCCAAGTTAAATAGAATTCGGTATTAGTAGTACTTGGGATGGATGGCTGTTCACTCAGTCGAGGGAAATTGAAAATTCGTATTTCTAATTGTTATCAACCATACCCAGAAATATGACTCACTTTCAGCCGTTTTACCATACGAAAATTTATAAAATAAGTCCGTTTAATTATTTAAGAATTTTTTTAATAAATGAAAAAAATGTTGAAGTTGGGGAAAATAAAATTTACATTTACACTAAATATAAAGGTAATGTATGAATGTAGGGCAGAAATAATAAATTTAGCAAATTATTTAAACGTCAATAATATAAATAATAAATTTCGCACTCCCGAATTAATTTTTTATAAATATTTACAAGCTTATGTTCGGTACTTTATAAATTTAATAAATTGTACTTTTTATTTTGCAAAAAATTTTCAATCTATTTAATATTACATCATCGTACGAGAAATTTTATATACTAAACATTTGTAAATACAACATAGTCTTTTAGAATTTATTTGTAGAATTATATTTTTCCAATTAATTTGATTGAATAAATGATTATAAATGCAATAACACTGTTAAATTATTCTGAATTTTCAGAATATAAACATTCTTAAAATTAATAGTAAAAACTTTTTATCAATATGAGATAGCTTTATAGTTTATATTGTTTATTATTCTTCTTCAAATAATCAGAATAATTATTAAATAATAATTTGAATATCTTGACTGTCTTCATAAATTATCATTTAGGTGTACAATAAAACCAATATAACAAGCAATATAATTGATTTTAATGATGTCTGTAAAAGCTTTTCTCTTCATAAAATTGTGTAAGAAATACTTTTAGTAATTACTCAATTATTTAAGAAATATTGTATATAATTAAAAATAATTATCACTGTTTTTGTAATAACTTGTAAAATCAGTAAAGTTTAGTATATATTCCAATCGTTAAAATCTTTAATAATACAGAAAATGATAAATTCCATGCATATATTCAATATATTACTTATAATTTTATCATTTTTTATTAACTAAAATAATGGAATTTTAATGAGGTATGATTGAAAAGAAATTAAATGTATTGATAAGAAGTAATCAGTAAAGATACATTTAATCAAACCAAAAAATTTTTATAAAAAGATATTGTATTAAATATAATTGATTTTTTTAATGATAAATCTATTTCTAATTAACATAATAAATAATTATAACATTATGCTGCGATATTAAGTTCTGTATATATTAAATATAATAATAATAATATCAATTACTGTTAATCATGAAAAATTAAGCTTGTAAAAGCTAAGGATTTAAAATCATTGAAATAATGGACTTAGCTTGTGAGGAACCATTTATACGTACAATATATTATTCATTGTCATATTAATATTATATATAATCTCATACGTTCAATGATAATTCAAAAGATATAATTAATATGAACTTTAAAAACCATCTGCTAATAATTTGAAATTACTACTAAATGTATAATAAAGAATGTTATATTAAACCCATAAATTATCCTAAAAAAATATAAAGTTTTGTAGATGTACAATGAAATAATACAATGTAATGCACAAGGGAGGTTAAAAATATATGTTAAACATATATGTTAAAACAATCACTATCCATACAAATAATTAAGCTGAATTACTGAAGAATAACGTTTGCATAAGAACTCATGGATAGATAAATAGATAGAAAAATGTTTAAATAATTTTGACAGTTTCATAGTAGGATGCTCTTTTTACATGATACCAAATAAAATTTGGAATTTAGAATTTATATGATAACTTGTCTGAAAATCTCAAAATTCTCTACAAATGCTTATAAATGAAGAAATTGGGTAACTCTCTATTCGTAAACACTTTGGAGCGTGACTCGCATTTACAATGGCACTATTCGAGATTCTCTCTCTTGCTCTTTTCCAGTTATTAAAGAGAGCGACAATAAGATATATACGCGATGCAACAACAGCAGGCAGCATAAAGAGAATGACGGAAGTGAAATTGGACACGAACGCAATGAGAAAAGGGAGACTTTTGGAGGAGAGTCGTAAAAAAGAAAAGAAAAGAAATGTATGTAAAACGTTGAACCACGCGACAGTCATTTCTCTTTTCTTTCTCTCTTCATTTGGGTGTATGAATTGGGTAGCGTACGAACCTCGCCTTTCTCTCTCTCTCTCTCTCTCTCTCTCTCTCTCTCTTTCTCCATCACTCTATCTCTATCTTTCCCGCTGTCTTCTCGCTCTTGTAAATAAAGGGACACCTTACACACGGGCCACCGTATCTTCGCGCGCGCACTTCACCATGCAAACTTACCTTCTTTCGGCAAATTGGAAAGAATCGCGTCGGACTGGCGGAGAGTCGCTTTGACAGACCAAATATCGAAAAGAGATCGAGCGACGGGACACACGTAAATGCAGCTCTCCTCTTCTCCCAGAGCGTGCACGTAACTCTCCTTTAGGTGTGCGCGCGGCCTCGAGCGTAGGGGATGAGTTCACGAGTACGCGAGGACGGCGACAGCGATGATGACGGCAACGGATAGTCGTCAGGCAACCATAAGCCCATTCGTTCGCGCATAAACCGATGACGGCACTAGTTACTGATGGATGACTGACTGGATTCAGACACCACTCAATCCAGCGAACACCTTACACTGTGTGCGGCATGTACGTGCGCGCACACACTTATGCGCATACGCGCTCACCCACACTCATATGCACACACACACACACATATATATATATATATATATATATATATATATATGTATATATATATATGCGAGTATGTGTATATTCACTGCATATGTATGTAGATGCGTTTATGCATGCGCGTATAGAGAGCTCTCAAATGCGTGGCTGCGCGTCGGTGTGCGAATGTGTATGCATATATGTATATGGCTTTTGCTCCCGAGGCTGGTGGCTCCGTGTTTTTGCTCCTTCTACACTTGCTCACTTTGGCCGTTCGCTTGCTTTCCTGCTATCTTTCCTTATCTTTACCAAACTAGTACAATGCACACCGGACTTATGCCTCTATGCTTTTTAATGCTGTGAGAACGAATGAACGGCTCGAGGAGAAGTGTACATGTTAAATCGAAACGAAATTAAGTTGCAGCTTAGTTATTAGGTGGCGCAACGATCTTCGTCTTCATTCAAATTCACTGGAATAAATTCGAACGGATTTCGAGACTTGCAATCTGATCGACGAATGCCGCTTGTCTGTTTAAACAACAGCTTTATCAGAATGTAAAAGCGAAGGTAAAAGTGAGGAAGTAAAATTACCGAATCTGCCTGTAATTAAGAAATACGATTGAAAATTGTTGTAATGATTAATTCCATATGTATTCCCCTTAAATTCATTAGCGAACGCGCGGAATTATTACGAACTTTCTCGGCATTACACTTTTACAAACGAAATAATAAAGAAACACACGCCAGTTCAACAAATTAAACGAATCATAAGCTTTTACTTGGAATTCAAATTATATTCGGGAATTACATTGGATTCAATATTGTTTTTGAAAAATTTTTTAAAAAAAAAAAAAAAAAAAAAAAAAAAATAATCTTTCTTTTTTATAATATCGAAATAAGTAATTCGAAGTTGCTCCTTCAGCGCCAATAAAAACAATTTTTTTCCATCTCCTAATTCCATTATGTACTAGACGTTTTTTAAAACTTCTCTATTTTAAACGCATAGTCTATTTGTTCTTCGATTTACTTTCATTGGCCAGTTTAAGTGCAATAGACGTAAATCGATTTAGCGTAATTCGTGGTTATATGGTTGGTAAAAAATAGCATCTTGATTTTTAATGATATGTAATGTGTATTATGATTCAAGCCGAATTGCACACAAGAATGTATTATAATTAATTGCAGTTAAAGCATTAATTAAAAATTGAAAAATTAAAATTGACGGTCAATATCTTCATGCCAATTTCAATCACTTAAGCACTATTCTATATCGCGAACTCAAATACTACATATATACATATATATGTGTGTATATATATATATGTGCGTGCGCGGGTGTGTACGCGCGTGTGTGTATATAAATTGTTAAAATATTATTACAAATAAATGCATATGAAAACTGTACAAGCATCGAAGGGTTTATCTTTTAATTTTTAACTGTTAATATTAGATTCGAATTTTCGTGCAACTTGCGAATGTTCGAGGATAATTGTCGAGCATGCGTAGATGTTCTATGCCGGCGATATTTCTCCTGAGAAAAATAATTGCACGTTTCTTTTAAAGAAATATAATTTGTCTACTCACATACTCGTAATGTTATAATGTGAAAATATTTGTCGAAGTTGGAAAAAATATAAGCTTAGTTGTTAATTTGCAAAGTGCATTTTCAAATTGTATATTATTACTATTTATTTTTCCTCACATTTTTCATTGCAAATATCAGAAATTAGTCTTTTTTTGTTGTTGCAATTTTATCACGGAAATTGAACTTCATTTTTCAGCATAATTATAATATTATTATAATATAATGAATTTATTTACTGTACTAATGTGATTTATTATGAGAGTTTTTATCTCATGTTGTACTTATCCTTCACTATTCAAAAAGTAGCACCAATAAATTCAGAATATTAACAGAATTTATGATTTGACAGAAGCAGAACAGTTAAAGAGCTATAAAAGTTTGTAATATTATATTCAACATTGTAGCTTGAAAGGTTTAACACGATAAATATTTATTTATCTATTTTATTTTTTATTGAGTATAATTATGAATTAATAATTGTTTTGCAATGAAACTTAATGACTACAATTAAAAGAATTTAACAAAGTAGTTTCATTTCAATAAGCTTGCTAGAATCTGTAGAATTTATAGAAATCTGACGTGATAACATGTTATCATTAAAAATAACTGTACCTTTGAATTATTTAAGATTACGGAAACTTTACTTTATGCACAAGTGTATTAATTCATTGCAACGATTAAGTGTGAACTATGTAAATCATTGTTTTTATTCCCAAGAAATTAAGGACGTGTGTAACGTAGGGACGATTGGGCATGTTGATCATGGAAAAACTACTCTTACAGCTGCTATAACAAAATATTTGTCAGATAAATACAAAAATTGCAAATACATGAGTTATAGCGAAATTGACAGTGCACCTCAAGAAAAAACTCGCGGTATTACCATTAATATTGCCCATGTTACCTATCAAACAGAAAAAAGAAGATACGCACACGTCGATTGCCCTGGACATATGGATTTTATTAAAAATATGATTAGTGGAACATCACAAATGGATGGAGCAATTTTGATCGTTGCAGCTGATGATGGTATAATGCCACAAACCGTGGAGCATGTTATATTGGCAAAGCAAATTGGAATTGAAAAAATTGTTGTTTTTATTAACAAAGTAAGTAACTTTTTAAATATTTTAATAAATTAATTGATTTTATTATATTTATTATCATGGTTATGATAAATTTTTCTAAAATTATCTCCTAGAATTTTTATATTTATTTATGTGATTGGGTTAGATAGTAAACTTAAATTATAATCTTAATAATTTTATATTCAAACTTTGCATGCGAATGGATTATGAAAAATTGTATTCTGAACTTCATAAGTATTAATATTCATAAGTATTCATAAGTATTAAAATATTAATAAAAGAAAAATAAAGACAAAAAATTTTTACAATAATTATTTGAATTTATTAAGAAGTTTATAAGAGTGTTAAATATTTTATAATAAATATTATAATTTATCATTTACTAAAAATTAATTCTTTTTTATTTATATAGGCGGATCTTGTGGATGAAGAAACATTATATCTTGTAGAAATTGAGATTATAGAGTTGTTAGAAAAAAATGGTTTTAATATCACACAAATTCCTATAATAAAAGGCTCGGCATTATTAGCCTTAAATGAAAATACATCGGAATATGGAATGCCCTGTATACAAGCATTGACCGATGCTATTGACAAACATATTCCGACACCCCAAAGGGATTTTCAATCTCCATTCCTTCTCCCAATAAGCAACTTTTTCAATCTACCAGGACGAGGTACTATTGCAATTGGAACTATTCAAAGGGGAATTATTAAGAAAGGAATGGAAGCAAAACTTGTAGGATATGATAGTTCTATAAAAACTTTTGTCAATGACATTCAGGTATTATGTTTAATTTTTAATGTAAAATATTCTATATATAATAAAAAAAGTTTAATCTTTGGCTAATATATTTTACAATATCATGAATGTTGAGAAACAAAAATATATATTTAGAAAAATACAGAACTTAGAAAATTATTAAAAGGTGTATAATTATTACATAGTTAATAATATGCATATTTACAAATTATTATTTTACTACTCTTATTATTAAAATCATTGAATGGAAGTTGCGAATAATATTATTATTAAACAAGAATAATTTATAAGACTGTTTTTAATTTCTTAGATTTTTAAAGAATCAAAGTCAGAAGCAGCAGCAGGAGAAAATGTTGGTGTTTTATTAAGAGGAGTGAAGATGTCAAGTATTCGTAGAGGAATGTGGATTTGTGGAAAAAATTCTGAAAAATTCAGCAATCACTATGAAAGTCAAATTTATTTACTAGAGCCGAGTGAAGGTGGTAGACATAAACCACTTCCAGTAATTATTACTTTTAATTAATTATTATTAATTCATTCTCATTGGAAAACATGAGATACGAATAAATATATGAATTGAAAAAATATAAGAAAATATTAACACATATTATATTTTTTTAGCAATTTGGTTCTTGTCTCATGTTATATAGTTCAACTTGGAATATCTATACTAGATTAGATATTTTACTACCAGAGGGTACAAAGATGTTAATGCCTGGTGAACAAGCTTGTGCAAGATTAATAATGCGCGATAGAATGCCAATGTTATTACATCAGAATTTTACAATACGAGATTTAAAACGGACTATTGGATCTGGTAAAATAAGTAAAATTTGCGAGCCTCTCGAGTTCAATAAAAAGAAAATGAACAATATAAATTTGTCTCTTGCTGCTGTTTGAAGATTTATAAAAATGTTAACATTGCGGAATTGTTTGTAATAATTGTTATTTTTAAATTAAGTTTAACGATATTTATGTATTTAAAAAGGATAGAATAAAAGACAGTTTGTAATTTTATAAAATTAAATTTTTAAGACTTACTACCATTATTTCGTTATATTTATTTAAGTAAATTTTATTAATTTTGATAAATAGTATTTTATTGGGTAAAATGTGAAATCGCTCATTTCTGCGAATTAAGAATTAAGAATTCAAAGCATTAAATTAGGCAATCTTGGATAATTTTATAAATAAATACGTTTGTGCATCACTTACTTTTATAAGCAAAATGCAAATAATTATGATTAGTTTATCTATTTGTAACATGTAAAATCTTTATAAAAAAAGAAGAAAAAAATAGATATATTTATTAACGAATGCCTGTACTTATTCATTAATAAATATAATTAATTCAATGATTAACATTGTTTTGTATTTTCTTTTTTTTTATTTTACAATTACTAAAGTAATCAGAATACAATGATGGGTATCTACAAAAAGGCTTCCTCTTTCTTTTTTTTTTACGAAATAATTGATACGTTTATTAAAGAACCAAAATGTAATGTATTAACAGATGTATATGGCTATCGAATTTCTTTTTTTTCGAATGTGGAATTAGTTTATTTCTTTTTTCTAGATTTTATGTCTTATGAATGGCTTTAACATAGATGTACATAGAGAATATTCACAGTCAATCCTCGAAATATAAAACGCATACATAAGTTTCGGCAGTAACAACAATTGTTGTAGCTAAGTAATTGAGTGAGTTCTCAGATGTTTTGACACTTGGAGCTTATGATGTAAAGGTGGCTACGAAATCAGAAACGAGAGTCTTCAATTTAGCATCTGTTGCTTCACTAATGACATTTTCTTTTGCAATTGTAGCCAAAAGGTCTTTTTGTGTTGATCTGAAAATGTATTTTTAGTTTAGTCATTTTCACATTACTTTCAATCCTCGTTTCATTTAATAATGAATTTCAACACTTGATACGTATCGTTATAAATAAATAAATATATATATATATATATATATATATATACAAAATGGAATAGATAATTAATAAAATATCGTTAAAATAAATATAAAAAGATCAATAAGTGGTGTTAAATTTTTTAAGAACTTTAAAAAACAAACTATAAATTATTAATATTCTTCTCAAAGGCTTTGCTGTTATAATTTTATTTTATTTTATTACTTAATAGCAGAATTATGTAATTTATGTATGTAAATATGTATTACAATAACAAGTCACTTACCGAATATGTGCAAGGAATTTTTTTTCAAAGTCAGTGATTTTGGTAGGGTCTAATTTGTCGAGGTGTCCACGGACACCGCAGTAAATGACGGCGACCTGGTCTTCAATGGACATGGGCACTAAAGACATAAGAAGGGTGAAATGTTATTCTGAATTTTTCAAAAAATATCCCGGCTTGCGAAATCATGGCTTCTCGTAGATTTAGAGATTGTGAGCCGGGGACAGTGGGAAACGGTCATCGATATTTACCATACTGTCCTTGTTTCAATAATTCCGTAAGACGGATACCACGGCTAAGTAGTTGTTGGGTGGCTGCGTCCAAATCAGAACCAAATTGGGCGAAGGCTGCCACTTCACGATACTGGGCCAACTCCAATTTCATGGAACCAGCGACCTAGACGAATAAAAATTAATTAATCCTCAAATTTCACCCCAATATATGGTCCGTTTAAAAGAGAGAAGCTAATTTTGACAAGTTGAAGAAAATATAGATAACGTTATAATAAGAATAACTCCAAGATGTTTGTATTTGCTGAACTTGAAGAAAGCTCTTGTTCTAAGTTCGTAAGAATAACAGCAAATTAAACGAATTAAATCTATGAAATACTCATATTTCTATAAATCTTAGCTATCCATTGTTTTCCAGTATCGAATCTTAAATAATGTAGATCGTAGAAGATAGAGTTGCAGTTTCCAAATATTATTTTCAAGAATTAGCATCAATAAAGGCAAATAAAATGTAAGACATGAGTGTTTGATTGTACCACGAATGTTTGAAAATCTTACATTGTTTGTCATTTTAAAGTCATGTTAACATACCCGCGTATGTGAATATTAATTAATGCAAATAATATTTGAAAGTAGAGATTTTTTTTTTTAAACGCCACATATGACGTTATTCACCGGGAATTAAAGAGAATTCATTTTATTTACACATGCAGACAATAGTAACTAAACATTGGAGCGAATTATTTAATTTTATTAAAAACCGTATTATATTTGGATGACTCGGGCAACGTCAACTATTTTCTTTTCAATATAAAAACACAAATACGCAAAATGTTACAATTTAGGAAATGTAATGATAATATAATTTTAGTTATAATTTAATGATTATTTTCCCAGTATTTTATGTAAATTTGTAAACTAAATTTAACTGCACAATTCAAAATTTATGATATACAATGCAAAATATAGAAAAAAAAAAAAAAAAAAAAAAAAAAAATTTAAATTACAATGCTAATGGAGTTCTATAAATATCCATAAATCAGTTCTGTTAATAAAGTGTCAAGTAATGAGTGCTCCCTCCAATCGTTTCTATTGGGCTGAAAATTTGACTAATTTGACTAAAAAAAAACAAGCAAAAAGTTAACAAAGAAAAATCAGTACCTGCTTCATGGCCTTGGTTTGAGCAGCCGACCCTACACGGGATACAGAGAGACCGACGTTGATAGCCGGTCGGATACCCTTATAGAACAATTCAGTTTCTAAAAAGATCTGTCCGTCTGTAATGGAGATGACATTAGTGGGAATGTAAGCTGACACATCGCCGGCTTGAGTTTCGATGACAGGTAAGGCAGTGAGAGAGCCGCCACCAAGAGATTCGTTCATTTTAGCGGCACGTTCGAGCAGACGTGAGTGCAGGTAGAACACATCACCGGGGTAGGCCTCACGACCGGGCGGTCGCCTCAGTAGTAAAGACATTTGTCGATAGGCAACCGCCTGTTTCGACAAATCGTCGTAGATAATGAGAGCATGTTTACCATTATCTCTGAAATCATGAACAAATTATATTCAGGTCGCATGCTTATTTACTTACACTTTTCATTGTTCGTGTGAGTTTATGTCCAATTGTGTGAACGTGTAAATAAATTGATAAGACTCGTCCAATTTAATAATTAAATTTTTTTAGTATATTAACAGTGCCAATATAGTAATTTTAATTTATGATTCATAAAATGTCATTAATATTAACAAAAAAATTATTAAATATTATAGAAGGATAGTTTATTCGAATACAAATTATAAGCAAGTTGAGCGTGCTTCATTCGTGAGAGTGTAGTTGTAAAACCCAATTTATAGCAAAATAATTGAATAGGGAATTAAGATGACGTGCGTAGGATGGCATACGTAATTGATTTTCATTGGCTAATGGAAGATGTAATTTTATGATCGAGTACACCATCGATTGGATACGAGTAATTAATATTAAGTATTGTTTATTGTACATACCTGAAGTATTCTCCCATAGCACACCCAGAATAGGGTGCAAGGTACTGAAGAGGGGCAGCATCAGATGCAGTAGCTGAGACAATAATAGAATAGTTGATAGCGCCATTGTCTGTGAGACGCTTTACAATTTGCGCAACGGTGGATCTCTTCTGACCGACAGCTACGTAAATGCAGTACAATTTCTTTTTCTCATCGCTAGCGCTATTGAACCGTTTTTGATTGATAATGGTATCAATGGCCAGGGCGGTCTTGCCAGTCTGCCTGTCACCGATAATCAGTTCACGCTGTCCACGGCCAATAGGCACAAGCGAGTCTACGGCTTTGATTCCCGTTTGCATGGGTTCTCGAACGGACACTCTATTGAAGCGATAACAGAGTTATTGGTTAGGTGTTGTTTAATTTTCGAAAATTTTTAACACAATAAATATTATTTCTATATTTCTAAATATTATTTTTTATTATTCTAATATTATTTTTATATCCATTGTTAATAATCTCAAGAGTGTAGATTTCAACAAAGTAACGATAAGAGTAAATGGTTAAAATTTAAAGAATTTAGTAATATTTATTAAAATATATCTACACGCAAATTACTTACCTAGGAATAATACCAGGAGCCTTTGTACCAATTCGGAATTTAAGCTTATTGTTAAGAGGGCCTTTACCATCGATGGGATTACCAAGGGCGTCGACAACACGACCCAAAAGCTCATCACCGACGGGAACGTCGACGATAGCCCCAGTACGTTTTACGATGTCACCCTCTTTGATGTGCCTGTCATTACCGAAAACGACAATACCAACATTGTCAGGCTCCAAATTCAAAGCCATGCCTTTAAGTCCGGAGCTAAATTCCACCATCTCGTCGGCTTGAATATTTTTAAGACCATAAACACGAGCGATACCATCTCCGATACTGAGCACGCGACCAGTCTCTTCAAGGTTGGTCTACAATAAAATTGAATATTATTTATAACTATCTTCTAAAAATATAATTCTAAAAATATTTAACCCGTGAAAATTAATAAATAATATAATTAAAATATTGCTTAAATGTATATATACTAATTAAATAAGTGATATATTATTGAAAACATTTCTTAATTCTATAGATCCCTAATTACTTTTTACCAAAGATTATATAATATACTCACTGGCATTAAAATACTTTTATATTATTCTTATATGTCTATAAATAATTTTTCACAGAAAATTTGGAAGAAAAATATATATTAAACTTGGTGCATTAGTTTTTTAACTTTATATTTAAAAAAATTATTGCCATTCTCTTATTTTAGGCTAGTCACGTTCTTACGATAATTCCAATAACTAATTATAGATTTATATAAGAAAGGAAAGTAATATTCCATAAATATAAATGTGCAACTTATATGGTTGGGATGAATGATATATTTTAAATATTTAAAGTAAATAAAATCACATCCACGCGCATACATCCTCATAGGTATAATATATAAGTATTTAGATATATAAGTATATATAAGGGCAGTGCAATCGTTGAGGAATCAAATTTTAAATACAGTATCTTACTTTGGTGGTAGTACCCAAAATTCGTTCTTCGAGAATGGATGATAGCTCAGCGGATTTGCGACTGCAGGAGACATGATATTTTCTCGAAGCAACAACAGCAGTGGGCCAGGTCAACTGAAATACAATATATTACACTCGAGGCAATGTATTTGTCGAAACTATTTATTTAAAAATTATCATCTGATCTCTTGCTTCCTTACTTCCTTCAAAATACTTTCAATTCAATTACATAACTTTCAATCTTTATGGCCTATTTTTCTGTGTGTTTATGTAACCTCATTGGTCAAGGCACGGAATTAAATTATCGGCATTTTAAATTACATTTTCTTCGCGTTCCACGATCCCAGAGTAATTATCATATCATCACAGAATTAGAATAGTCAACGAAGACATTAAACTCAAGGAAAACCAACCGGTTAAAAATGGCTTCCATCCGCTACTCCAGTTTTCTCCAATTGAATTAACGAGACGTCTGGGCCACGCCGACTCGCGAGCCCATTTCATTTATTTCATTGAAACATAATAGAGGAGATGAAACAAAGCTTACCTGGCTGTTGGGCAGCTGTTTCGCTACCGAAGCTGCAAGACGTACGGTCAATAATGCCATGACTTTTAATGTTTCGCAGGCAAGTAGAGGCGTCCACTAACCCGGTCAGTGTTTAAAGACGAGAACCTCTTTAAAAGCAGAAGAACTAGAGAACCGCTGCAGCGCCGACTTGTTCCCCCACCAATTCCAGGCTCGATCATTATCTTTCGTCATTCTTACTCCTCCGTTGTTGGGATGCGATACGTTTCGTGCGCTGATTGTACCGAGCATATCAGGAAGTACTATGGATTCCTTTACTTCCCCTATCCGACATTGATTGCCCGGCGACATGTCGAGTTTAGGTTTAGTTGGTTAGAGCCGAGTCTTCCGATTGTGTTTCTCTACTTTTTAAAAATGTCTGTCGAGATAGATGGATCCGATGACTCTGGCAATGAAAGAAAATTTTGGCCAATTATGATTTTCCTTTAGTTCAACGAGCATTATAATCTTACATTCTTTTATTAGAACTTTTGAGAGAGTAATGTGATGTGCGTAGTAACTGACTCGAAGGTGGCTAGTTTGAAATATATTTACTTTTATCAATGCTCGTATTAATAAATTATATAAGTAATAATTGAAATGTTATACTCTTATTAATAAATTATATATGTAATAATTGGAACTACAGTATATTTGGTATTTTGTATCGAAGCTCTTGTTTTTAAAGACTTCAGACTTGGAAAAGTCAATTATATTATAAAAATTATACACCATTGTTAATTGTTTATATAATTGTTGCTATTGACATATAGACAAGTGAAAGTCAACGAATGATATTTTTCCTCAATATCTATTGACATATATCAAGTAGAAACACACAAAAGTTATTAATACGAGTTATTTGTAAATAGCTTGACAAAATGATCGAATTAAATTATTCTTTAGAAAATTGATTTCAATTACCATAATTTTCTTTGCATTAATTATCCATTGTTGCTGTTGTTGTTGTTGTCGTCGTCGTTGTTGTTCTCGTTGTTGTTGTTGTTGTTGTTGTTGTTTAACAATTATTTAATGAGCAATTAATAATTTATAGATAAATCTCTGATTATACATATCGTGTATGCACTAGTGATGTTTTATAAAAATTGATTGTAGGACAATCAATTAACATTTGGTTAAGAAAAAGTAAGAGATTTTGAAAAGATTTTAATATATCATTTATTTTTATTAGCTAATCTTTATAGCATATTAATGTATTATGCACTAGCTTTCTTTTATTTTATCTTAATAGTTAACTTATAAATTATATAGTTTTATGGCTATTTTGAAAAACTATATCGTAACATTTTCCTTACGAATTTTGAAAATGAAATTGAATTTCAATGTCAATTTTGATGGTTGTGTTATTTTAAAAATCCATCACAGATTAATAATGATCGCTCCTCTCGATACTCAAAAGTCAAGCTTGAATTTTCAATTGAAAAAACGTGTCAAATCCAAACATCACATGTAGTTTCTCATTCGACATTATTGTCAATTTACGGGATTGTGACAGTAATTTGGCCGCCGTTTTTGACAGACGAATTAAAAAGAGTCCGCTACTTCTGTTTGTCGTCTGCCCTCTTGCAGAAACTAACACGACCGACCCGAGGTCCAAGATGGCTACAGTTATGGTGTTTTGATGAAGTATAAGGATTTTCTTCAGCCTACGCCCGTTCTTCATACATTTCCCGTTTCAATTCCAATGACAATAGATCGCATAATTTCTTCGAATGGTAAACTCTGGAAAAAAAGGACAAGACAATAAAATGCTTGGAATAGACTGTTAATATTCGCGACGTGTAACACCGGCACCTGCAGTTTGTTATTCGTGTTTATCGATTGCTCTTCGGTATTTCATTGCTATTGTTTCAGCTAGATTCGCCAATTTCTGAGGACTTTGATATTAAAAAGCATATGTGCACACGTAGAATCGAGGAGTTGATTATTGTGGCAAAATGTCGTGGCGGGCATCGATGGAGAATTTTAGGATTGTCTGCTAGAGCGCAATATCGGATCTCTACGAATTTTACGTGCAATTAATTATTGTAAGCAACGATTTCCCAAGGTGTTTTCATATTTTCATACCGTACTTTACTAACGAAATCTGAAAAGCACATTTTCATTTTTTAATGTAAACAATGCATTTTGTTTATCATACACAGTGTTGTTTTAAAGCTTAAAGTTCCATTTTAATTCTTCCAAAACATATGCTTCACAAGTTACTCAAGCAAATGTAATTTAGAAAAATACTCATTTTTGGACATTATCATATGTGTTTATGCATGTGCGTATATATATTCACATATATATATATATAATGTGTGCGTGTGTGTGTGTGCATGTGCGTATATATATTCACATATATATATATATAATGTGTGTGTGTGTGCGTGCGCGCGCGCGTGTGTGTGTATTATATATATATATATATATATATATATATATATGTATACACAGTGTATACATATAACGATAATAACAATATTGTTTGTAACATGAAATAAAAATCTGTTATCATCTACTTAAATGATATTTATTATATTGTAATATTAAAAGTTCAGGACGATTGATATTTGTTGAACTATAAAATAATAATCTGCATTTTAATTAATGGAAAGCTTTATTAAATTAGATTAGAAGCACAAGGATCGGTGTATTTCTGTTATTTATGATACGCTTGTTTTCAGACTTTACGAGTACAATCTCGATATTGCATTCAAATGGATGTTTTTGACTAAATTACAAGTCTTTTTAATTGCTCTTAATTAATGCTTTTGGTGGGACGATGGACTCTGCTACAGAATTAGAGCATATTGAAAAATTAGCGAAAGAAGCGGAATCTCTTAAAATTCGTCTCGAAGATGAAAGACAAAAACTAAACGATGTTACTCGTAAGTCATATGGATTTATTATAGAAATTAATAGTTTTACAAACTCTTGCCCCTTAAATATTCTCGTTCAATGAGATGAGTTCTATAAGAGGTAAATAATATTATACGCAAGTTTTTGTATTATTATTTTATTTTGTAGTTGCCGCAGTTGCAGAGAGATTGGAACCAATTAGTTGTATAAATGTAAAACATAGACGAGTTTTAAAAGGTCATCAAGCAAAAGTATTATGTTCTGATTGGTCTCCGGATAAACGGCATATAGTTTCTTCATCGCAGGTAATTCTTGGATCAATATAGTTACTGAAAAGTGACCGTATTATGATATTTAGATTATCAAAATAAACGACGGCTTCAATGAATTAATTTATTACTTATACAATTCTTTATCGTCGATAGAGTCAAGTCTGTTTTATCGCTGCATTTTTCTTTAAGACCTAAATCTAAGATACAAATAGATGATTTACTTATATTAACAATTACAAATCTACGTAATTCCTGTTAAATTATAAGATTATCATACACATCTATAAATATATAATTGTATGATTGTATTTTGAATTACAAATAGGATGGAAAAATGATAATATGGGATGCATTTACAACAAATAAGGAACATGCGGTAACTATGCCAACAACATGGGTTATCGCTTGTGCCTACGCTCCAAGTGGACAGCTCGTTGCTTGTGGGTAGGTAATTGAAAATTAAAATGTAACGAATAGTTATTTATTGATATCGCGATGGAAAGATTTTCATTTCAATATTTTCTTTGCAATATTGCCTCGAGTAAGCCTATAGCGTAAATTTTTCTCCCACAATTTCTCCCTCCCATTACGATTTTGCTGCAATCGCTCGCCTCGGCTCATTAATCTTTATCATTACTTTCAATTCCGCTCCATCGTCCTGGCCCCTTCCTTCCTACACTCGACTATAAAAAAAAATTTTCTACAACAATTCACGATATTACCATTTAAAGTGTGCCAGGAGCTCAGGAACAATTATTCATCGGAATATATACATCGCCCATTCCAATGATAACAATCATATTGCATTCCAGCCTACTTTTGTACAGCGGAGGATTCTATGGCCGTTATTATCCATTGTAAATTACATAGCGTTTGCAATATATTAATTTCTATAGTGGCCTCGACAACAAAGTGACCGTTTACCCTCTAAGCCTCGAGGACGACGTATCAACCAAGAAGAAGACCGTCGGCACGCACACGTCGTACATGTCTTGCTGTGCCTTTCCAAACAGCGATCAGCAGGTGCTAACGGGTAGCGGTGACAGCACCTGTGCTTTATGGGACGTCGAGAGCGGACAATTGCTACAAAATTTTCACGGGCACTCGGACAGTGTTATGTCTATAGATCTGGCGCCCAGCGAAACGGGTAATACATTCGTATCGGGCAGCTGCGACAAATTAGTCTTCATATGGGATATGAGAAGTGGCCAGTGCGTTCAGAGCTTCGAGGGACACGAGTCCGACGTCAATTCGGTAAGATTACATGCAAAGACGCCACTCTTGCTAATCCCGGTGCACTGCTCACAAATCTTAAGTCTTCGGTCATTAAGAGAATTATAAAGCGACGGAGATCATTATGAAATTGTGAAATGATCGAAATTCGCCTCGATGAAACATTCGATTATTCAACCATTCGTTCTTCCGTCCCTTCGAGACCCCTCGATATCAATCAATATTATCGTGTAAGCGCATCGCCGCCAATAATGCCAATCCCACTTGACGCGAATGTTCACGAAGACGTGCGAATTTGAGCAGCGTAACGTAATAAATATCGCTCCAGCACCCGCGAGACAGTCGCTTTATAAAAGAGCTTGAATGTTACAAATGTGCTTTGAAGAGCGTATGACTTGGTTCAATGGCTTTCTGTGTACTAATGTATGCCGACACGTTACGATGAAAGGTGCGATTCCATCCAAGTGGCGACGCGGTAGTCACAGGCTCGGACGACGCGACCTGTCGGCTCTTCGATCTCCGGGCCGACAAGGAGGTCGCCGTCTACACCAAGGAGAGCATAATCTTCGGAGCTAATGCAGTGGATTTGTCGGTGAGCGGGCGATTGTTGTTCGCTGGCTATAACGACTACACCGTCAACGTATGGGACACGCTCAAGTGCCAGCGCGTGGCGCTCCTCTACGGCCACGAGAATCGAGTCTCGTGTCTGCGCGTCTCGCCCGACGGCACCGCTTTATCTACCGGCAGCTGGGACACAACATTGCGCGTCTGGGCTTAAATGTTAAGTCAGTCCCGTGACAGGGAGAGATGTAGATCGTCGTTCTTTCGTTTTGACAGGCCTTCGGTTCTAGATGCATCTGCTGCTGATCCAATTATAGGCTTGACAGACTATTGGTTATTGTCCTTTCGTTTAGCGTTTCGCTTTTCGCTATTTCGTTCGTACGTTTTTGTGAAATACCTGCAATTTTACATTCCTCCTGCTACGGCCATATTATTATGGAATTCGATGCTGCTTTCAATAGATTTAGAATAGAATGATATAGAAATGATAGAAACGATGTTCTTAGTTGACGATGGGCTCAGTTAATCCCTCGATCTGGTTCAATCTCGTGCTGGATTACTGTCCTACTGTCCCTAAATAATTCATTAACGTGTATATTTTTTTATAATTATCTGACATTTTTTACATTCGATCAATTCGACGTTTGATGAATAATACCAAGAAAATTGATAATTCGATACATAATTATGTATACCAATAATAATTATTGAAAGTAGCTCTTTAACATTCTGTAATAATGTTAAAAATGATCTACGTCGGCTATATATTTTTACTGTATTGTTTTCCATACGTGAAATCTAGAACACAAACATTTATACGATTGTTATCAATAGCTTTAAAATTATTTTTAAACTATAAAAAGAAATCTAAGTGATATTTATAATATAATAAATATTATTTTATTATTATATGTAATATTATCCACACGTCTAATATATATATATATATATATATTAGAAAAAAAACTGTATTTTTTCATTATAAATTTACTAGTGATACTTTTATAATTTAAATAATATATATTATTATTATTATTATTATTATTATTATTATTATTATTATTGTTGTTGTTGCTGTTATTATTGTTATTATTATTTATAATAACGATAAAGTATTTTTTATCATAGGTTTAGTAGCGACACTTTTATTCTTTACCTAATATATATTATTTAAGAATTATTTACCAACGTCTGATATTTCATTATTATTTTTATATATTTTATTGTTAATGGTGTATTTGCTGTTATATTTGTTTAAAAATATTAAACATTAGATTTAAATTTATTATCGTTATTGAAATTTCTCTAGTTCGACCGTTTGATGAATTTTATTTTAAATTCATTTCATTGCTGGTCGTTAGAATTAGTAAAAGTTCAAATAAAATAGCTTTGAAAAAAATTAATATTTATTTAAAATATCTAATTAAAGATTGACAAATATGACAAGACGTTGAAAAAAAAGTATGTTTCATTTTACTATCATTTAATATTTTATTTAATAATTCAGTCTTTACATCGCCATATAGCTATAAGCATATTTTTTTTCTAATAAGAATTCTGATTTAATTAAATAAAAATTAAGTAATTTAATAAATAGATCGATTGGTTGATCGTTTAGAAAATTCTCGTTTATATAGTAAAATGTCATAGATTAGATGATTTATTAAATTGCTTTTGAAATGGATAAGAAGGGATTATTGTTTTATTAAATTTCATTACTAATCAATTGATTTATCATTACATAATAATTTTCTATGTTAAATGGAACATTTTATAACTCCTTTAACGATGTTTTAATCATTTATTTATAGATAAAAGTCTAACACGAACTTTTTATTTCATAAGAATGTTTTACTCTTGATTTTTCAAAGATTATTTTAAATAGATTATATTTTATATATTTGGCTTAATATTTATTAAAGCTTTTTTTTTTTTTTTATATATATTTTCATAGATGTATGTGCGCATATTGTTAAATTACAAATTATTTTAATAATTACGTAATATTGATATATTTTTCAATAATTGACATAAGATAAATAGATGGAAATTAATAACTCGAATACCTTTTTTATATTTTAGGTGATAAATTATTGCAATATCTGTGAGAGAGAATAATTATTCATGATTTATATACGATTAACGTACACTTTTAATAAAATAATGAGAATTATTTTTTTGGATTTATTTGTTTGTTGATAATATTTTAATTGTTCTATACGAAATTTTATATATAGATAAAAAGTAAAAAAAAAAAATTGTTTGAACATCTTTTGTATGTAATTTAATATAAAAAGGTTAGAAATTTAAAAATTTTATACGTTAATTATTATAATGCTTTTAAATTAATGAGATAATTTGATTAAATTTTTAAACAAAATGCAAAAGCAACGAATGCTGCAATACTTCATTTATTTTACACGCTAGTATTATCAATATTGCTTTCACTATAACAGTAAAATACTTAGTTTGACTCTTTATATTTTTAATTCAAACGTACTTTTGACATCTTAATGAAGATGAGTAAAATAAACAACGAATAAATTGAAGTAAATTTTACATTAACTGCTAAATTATTAAGCTATTTAATCTTATCATTAAAATTGTAAAAGTGTAAATGTATTTAATTTACGCTTTTATTTTTAAGAACTTTGTAGCATTAATTAAATACTGATCTTATTTTTTTTTTCGGGTATTTTTCATTTATTGTACTATTAGCTATTAGTCATTTTGTTCAGATTTATAATCGTTTATTTACTAAAAGATTTACTTTAAATTAGAATATTTTTTAATTTTATAGTTGTCGGTAATAATTTGACCAATTGAAATCTTCATTAGTTATTTATTTTAAAGTCGAAAAATAAGACAATTCCTACTACTAGACAATGAATGTCTTTTTATATAAACAAATTGACGCAATATGGACACTGCCCAATTTGAAGAGAATATACAAATAATAATAAGCTATTAAAATTAAATAGTCAATGTAGTAATTGTTATTTTAATCATATAGAATGTCATTACAATTTTGCTACCTACATTTTAATATGTCCAATGTAACATATTATTATATCAAGCCAAATATTTAAAATTATAAAACCAAATGAAAAAATGATTATACAGTAGAGCCTCGAAAACAACTACTCGTGCATTCAATTAAATGTCTATTTATTTTTCAGAACGCTTGATTTTTTTAGATTTTTTTGTGTTTTATTTAAGTGAGTTGCATTGAACGAATGAATTTATTTCAAATAGTAATTATTCTGCCAAATGAAGTACTTTTAAATATACACTTAATACACTCAATGATTTTGAGAAAATCCAATTGATGTTGTTCGTACATCCATTTCTTTCAACATGAACTAGCGCAACAACTATATTAGTATAATTATAGCAACATTATTGTGGATTGTCACATTTTATTTATCGCGCTTTCAAGCATTGGAGATATACGGAATCGACTAGCATAGAATTTTACATTAGATAACAAGTTGTCGTTAAACTTACTTCATGGCCTTATCGATACCCGTAGCGGGTTATACATTTTCAAAGTCAACGAAAATTTAATGAATACTTTTCTTTTTAGTATCGTTAGATATAATTTATCCATTTTGTTTTACAAAACTGCATTTTACTATGTTATTAAGTAATAACGATATCGTTTACGATCTCTTTTAAGTATTTTCGTTTTTTAATTAAATTTACTATTGCTACGGTGATAATTATTTATCAATTTACCGTGACATACAATAATTTATAAATAACATTAATGAATAATGGAAATTCAATTTAATTTAATATGGATCATCATTTTTCGTTATTACATACACGCTAATGACTATGTACCAATTGTAAATGTCTTTCAAATTTTAGGATCCCAGTGCTTTAGAGATTTTATTTATTAAGCATCGTAAAACGTCAGGAATAATTGTTAATATTATTTTGATTTTTTTGTCTTTTCTAAGTAATAATGTCTAAATTGATATCCATCCGTAGACGTGGATAGTAATCATATTGGTTAGATATATTATAATTTAATATTTCCTTTTAATGTACCATACGTTTATTTATTCTATATCGTAGATTATATTTAATAACGTTGTATTGAAATCATATGTAATACTAAAAAAGTATTTTACAAGGTAATCGTTCGATCATTGATTTTATCAGACAGGAACGTCTATTGATATCGATAAACAACAAAAGATTTACATTTTTCATTATAAATATTTTTATATTTGCTCATTTTATTGGAGTAATGAGCATTGTATTGATTTATTAATGTAAATCCTTAGACACTTAGAAGTTAATTATAATAAAGTTAAGCGGGCATAATTAATTAATTAACTTTACTAAGTGCTTTATTTGATATGATAATATTGAATAATTTTTTTTCTAACAAGAATCAGCTAGTGATTTTTATTGATATTTTGAAAATTAATATATTTGTTATACTGTTCAATTGGTAAATCTGTGCATTAACTTATAATCCCAAATTTTTTTTAATCAACAATTATTTATTATGATTATCTCGAACTTTACTATGTATTGCCAAAGATAAAACTATATTCATATCATATGAATACAATGTGCAAAGTAATTTATTGAATGATATCATACAGATAAACAAATTTATATTTATAAACTAACATGGTAACAAATTGAGTTTGAAATTTTCCAAAACATGGTGAGCTCTAAATGGAATTATTTTATTTACATCGTAATTATTTAACATATAAGAAGTTTGTTATTCTTACTTTTTTATTTTTTTTTTTATAGTACAGCTTTTAACATTGCTCGCCTATATAAATCGGTTACAAAGTTCAATATTTCTTTATCGCTATCTAAAATTAAATGGTATAAATTTCTTTTAATAAAAGTAACTATGTGAATTTATCAATTTATTATTTAGTACACAAGATATGTCGCACACATGCACGCATAATATAAAAGAATCATTTAATAATATGAGTTAGTTATGTATAAAAGGCATAATACAATAATTTAATTATTGATACCAAAGTTACAATATTGTCTTCATATATGAAATGTTTAAATAGCATTTAGGTGCATCACTCGTTTGAAACAATCATTTTTATAAAAGTATTAAAATTATTGTAATTCTTTTGTTTAAGAAAAAATTTTAAATGCCCCAAAAGCTAGTCGTAGTTATAAAAGATATAAAAATTCTAAACATTTATATAATAAAGTGAATAGTTGACATTACATATTAAACAGTGGTTATATCGAGGAGTTTTATGGAGCAAAATTTTTAAAAACAATTTCAAGATATAAAGACTTGTGTTCATTTTAAATTTATTAAATAAAAACGTTTCATAAAAATTATTTTTAAATAGCTATTTAATGTTAAGTTAATATTAAGTTTTGAATAAATGTTCAATTAATCTGAGGGAAATGCAGATTAAAGTAAAACGTACTAATATTATTTTCTTTGATTAACTATTGCATTTTAGAAAATGGTAAGACAGGAAGTATTATTTATAAATTATTTTGATTACATGTTTTAATATATACAAAGTCACAAGAAATTGCGTAATAAATATAACAATGAAATATAATGATAAAAGTGCACAAAAAATTGCGTAATAAATATAACAATGAAATATAATGATAAAAGTGCACAAAAAATTGCATTTAACGTATAAGTGAGATTATAAATAAATTATAAAAGAATATAGGAAAATATAAATAAATATACATATAGTGACATACGCTCTTTGTTCAACATGGTGAGAGGGTCGATAATATTTATGTCCCTGATGAAAATATTTTTATTCAAAATTTAATTTCCTTACAATGTCTTTTAGGACTATTGCAATTCCGTCATTGTATTAATAAACGAACTTTTTAAATTAAAGATATTTTATGGATAACATAATTATATGAAAATAAATGCGTATGTAGAATATTTAATACAAAATAAATTACTCACTGATACACCTTGTTTTCATATAAATTTAATAAAAATATTTCCATTAGAGGTAAGACTCAAGACTGCCGCTAAAGTCAAAGGACATGTGAAGGGCGAAAAAGATAATTGATATTGTTATAACCGTCGATAAAAATGTAGAGTGTTCAGTATAATAGCGATCGAATGTACATGAATTAAATAAAATATAAAAAGAGTGAACCCCGATCAAAAAAAAAAAAAACCTATATTATGTCCTAATCAGCGAAGCTGAAAGTTGCGCTTAGGCTGGTCCTAATTTATAGGTCTTTTGGACAATAGACGTACACATTCCCGTTATCGATCTTTGGATAACATATTAACAGAAAAAATTATGAAACAAGTCTCAGAATTGATATATCTAAGTAAACAATAACGGGAATTTAGTAAGCACAATGTAAAAACGTATTTCTTTGTAATCAACTTTTGTTTTATTAGTCATTAAAATTACGTTTTTTCTTTTAGCGTTCTTATGCAATTAGTAGGTAAATGTGTAATGAATTTTACAATATTTTCTCTGTATTAAAGAATAGTATTTTAATTTTAGTATTCTGTGTATTTTAAAGACATGTTATATGATAATATCTTATCTGTTATAATTCACAACTGCCACATCATTTATAAAAGTAATACTTTTCCATAGATTAGAATGAATAAAACTATGAAGTATCAAATTAATTAATAATTATTGCATTTTATTTAATATCATATATCCATCAATAAAAATTCTAAAAAATATAAAATATACTCATTAACATATTTACCAATCTTTGTTTTTTTTTTTTAATAAATATTAATTTACTTTAAATTTTCGTTAAATACATTAAAAATATTCATTTTTAATTTAACAATGTTTTAAACTTATCAACCATTTTATTACACATACAATTTTATTATACTGGATTACAGAAAACTAAAAAATATAGAGGACTATAAATTATAACTATTTTACATATGTGGTAAAGTGGTAAAATAGTAATAAAAAATATAAATATTTTATACATAATTTTATTCAAAACGAAAAGCATTCATTTACACTTTTACGAATTGTTAGTTTAATCTGTAATTATGATTTATGCGCTTTAATCTATAGTTATAAAAAATATTAATTCATATTTTAACAAACTATTATTTAAAATCATTTTTATATATAATGGATGAAACTTTGTGGTCTAATCGTTTGCAGCCAGACGTAGAGTATATATTATGAGGCGGAGGTCCATAAGTAACGTGCGATAAAGCTTCTTGAATCATTGCATTTGTAGGATTATTAATTCCCCAATGTTCAAACACATCGTGAAGACATTGAATAACTTGTTTTTCTTCTAAAGGAAGTAAAGGAATATGATGATCTATCAATTTTGATTCTATAGTACCACTTTTGAATAAGCCTCCCTCTTCATTGAAGGCACCTACTGAGATCAGTGACTCAAAATCTTGAAGAGTTGCATTTTCACGATTCATACCTTTCTCCCACAATTGTATCATACGCTTAACAATATAATTACTTCCTGTATTAGATAGAAATATAAAAATAGCTTTACTTTTGTCCCTTTGGTTCCAACTTGTATAATCCAAGAAAGGAACTAATATATCTAAAACTCCTACTGGCATCTTATCCACTTCATCAAAAACAAACATAGATCTTGCACAATTATTTATTTCTGTTTTTATTTTATTTGACAACGAAACCTGTGACATTAAATTTTTAATGACACTTATTAAATGCATATGTTCTTAAATAGAATATAGTTCTTACAAAATTGTTCAAAATCACATTTTCAATATACACTTTAAATGCTAATATATTTAAATTATGTTTTGAAGAATATTTAAAATCATTTTACTTTTTTGCCATAGTTCTTTATAGCGAAAGTAATTTAATTACAAATATTAAAAGAATAATAAATAATTCTACAATATAATAAATATATATATATATATATATATATATATATATATATATATCTGTAGAACAAACTATATTTGAACAATATTTAAAAATTAAAAACTATTACCTTATAAATATTATCTTTGTCATCGGGAAAATCAACTCGCCCATTAAAAAAATGATAATATTTACTTTTTTCACCATTTTTATATAAAGCATTAGCTATCATGGTGACAATATAATTTTTTCCACTACCAGGTAGGCCGTGTAGACTTAAAACTAAAGGCTTCTTTGGATTTAAATGGAAAACATGACTATGTACAGCACTATAAACCATGTTAGCAGCAATCTGTTGCCCATACAATTTATTCTGTAAATTATTTTTCAAGGCTACAACAAATTTATATTGCAATTAAACGTAAACTTAATATATGGATTATGTGAGCATTAAAATGACAAACTGTTTAATATGAAAATTAATAGATAAATTAATTTTGGAGTAAAGTAATTTTTGCATTCATAGAATGTGTCTTTGTTAATTATAACCGACACTTACCCTCGGTATTTCTTGGTATGTACTCATCAGTACAGCATTCGTAGAAATTACAACGTAAAGCGTAACCTACAACAGATGCTGTACCAGCAGCAATACTCTCTAAAATAAATGTCATCCCTAATTTTAAGGAACTCAAGAAAATAATAGTTAAAATCAAGGAATAAATATAATTCATTTTAGAAAATTTGCAAACTCGTTTCTATTAAAGCTGCTTAGAAATGTAAAAACTAATTTTTAATTTTAATAATAAAATGCAACCGGCATGTTAACTTTTATATATTTATATTTGTATATATATATATATATATATATATATATATATATGTACATATATATATATATATATATATATATTACAACCTTATAATCTTTAACTAAATTTTATCTAATATACTATTAACGAAGTGATTACATAGTTATTTGCACAGCCAACAAGTCATATAACTTGGTCTTCTTTTTTCTAAGCATAAAACTTTATCACACACACACAAATACGCAATTTGCAAATGTTTGCTTATTGGTTACATGATAGCGCCAAGTATAAAATTTACAATATCCAAGATCGATATAAATTACAAGATTTTTGTTAATTTTCAATTTTTTGAATTGCAAAATTCAAATAAACAAAACAGAATATTATTATAGTAACGTGAAAAATTTCTATTATAAATGTCAATTGATTTAAAAAATTGTCAGACAGCTGAAAAAACATTTTAATTCAATTTTCCATTGTAATTGATATTTTAACTATTTTTCAATCGTATATGACAATTAATAACCGTATAGTTCTTGCTAGTAAATTAAAAAAGAAAAATATTAAAAAGTTAACTGCATTACTGTAAGACTCTAAAATAATTGACAGATGTGTTCAAACGTTTCAAGTTATAAATTCCTGACATCGCCGTTACATATTTAACTGCAATATTTCTTTTCGTAGATTATTCTAAAAATCGCGCTAAAAATATGCTCAGTAATTTAATTTATTACATATTCCGTTTTATTATACATAAATGATGTAATATATACTATAACTAAACAAAACGTTACCAATTTTTCTAATTAAAGCGAAAGAATTTTTTAAATGCGAATGGATTGAGGTATGATTGGATTGAGGTGTGATTTCCAAATTTTCGAAAATTCGAACATTGCGAATGAGCGATGCTACGTTGATTATAATATCGATGAGTTTACCAAATGGACTTGTATTTTGCGCTCATTATGATCCCACTGGCCGGATTTATATAAAATTTAACAGTGGCAATATACATGAAAACTCATGAAAACAATCGCATTAAATTGGACCTGCCGAGAAGTTAGCCTTTAAAAGCATAAAATATAGAAAAGTAGAAATCATTTCATCGATTTCCACTGCGTTGGATTTTTATTGTGCATTTAATTTATATTTAAGTATTTTGAACACCAAATAATTAATAAGTATAAAGTATCGTTTGCACATTGAACGAGTGTGAGTCTGAAAAAATGCCTAAATACACAAGTAAGTAAATATTATGATATAATGGTTTTTGTTCTTCTAACCTCATAACCTCAATGAAATATCTCTAGCATGAGTTTCTGTTTTTGAACTTGAGTTTTAATTATTATCAAGAGAGTAATTATTTTATTCATATATTTTGATCATTTTTCTTTCAGTCAAAGTGAAATGGGGTAAAGTAATTTTTCCTAATGTGGAAGTTAGCACAGACGATGAAGTAATGCTGTTCAAAGCACAGCTCTTTACACTGACCGGAATTCCACCAGAGAGACAAAAAGTTATGCTAAAGGGCATTACGTTAAAAGATGATTGGAGAAATATTAAAATAAATAATGTATGTGATTAATTTAATATTTTTCATTTTTTAGTAATAAAATGTTAGTCGTTGGTTATTAAATTACATTCTTTTAAGATTAATAATAATTAACAGCAGTTTTGCCTATAAATTAAAAAAATTACTTATTAGCGTAATATTTTAAAAATAAAAACTTGAAAGTCAGTATGAAATAAATCATTTACCGAACGAATGGCATATTTAATGCTAAAATTTTAATTTTAATGCTAATATTAGTAAAATATTCAATATATTTTTTGCCAATTAATTAAAATTAAAAATATAATTCAGTTAATCGTGAAATAGAGCATTGGAGATTAATTTTTTTTAATTGGTTTTATTAATAAAATTATCGACTATATAATGCTATAGTAGTATTATTATATTTAAAGATACTTTAATTAGCATTTGAAAATTATGATACATGAAATTATCGCAATAATGATATTCTAGGGACTTACTGTACTAATGATGGGATCTAAAGAGGAAGATATACCCAACGAACCTGCTGAAAAGCCAATATTTTTAGAAGACATGAGTGAATATGAATTATCGTCTGTGTTAGACTTGCCAGCCGGCTTGACTAATCTTGGTAATACTTGTTATTTAAATGCTACGGTTCAGTGTTTAAAAACAGTACCCGAATTGCGAGAAGCACTCAAAAGTTTTTCCGGTGGTCTTACCAACGATAGTTTGCAATTTGTACCCTCACAAAGTATAACGGCTGCCTTAAGGGATTTGTACGAAGGAATGGACAAAGGATCCTCTTTACCACCAGTTGTTTTAGTTCAAATGATGCATTCTGCCTTTCCTAGATTCGCAGAAAAATCTAAAATGGGCGGCTTCCAACAGCAAGATGCTAATGAATGTTGGACAGAACTTGTTAGAATGTTACAACAAAAATTACCCGCTAAGGTAACAGAATAATAAATCCAATGAAATAAGTAACAGATTTTATTAGTTAAATAATTATTAATTATTATTTTTAATGATTGCACTAATTTTTTGCAATGTATTTCATTAGCCTATTAATTTTATGTTCTTTTTCTTTTTTAAGAAAAATTTGAGCGAATTACAAGTCCATATAATTGAAATTTTATATATATTATTTTAAACGGTTGAATTAATTAATTAAAAATCGCATTTATCATTTCTATAAACAATCTTTTTAGGAAAACTCTGCTATAACAAGTGACACTGCTACTTATAAACCAAGATCTCTGATTGAACAATATTTTGGTGGTACTTTCGATACAGAACTGAAATGCACCGAATCGCAAGATGAAACACCAACTACCGGAAAAGAAGAATTTTTACAATTAAGTTGTTTCATATCGACGGAAATCAAATACATGTTTGATGGACTTAAAAATAAGATGGAAGAACAAATTACAAAACTGTCTCCAACGCTTGAAAGGGATGCCATTTATACGAAAACGGTACAAGGTTAATTTTGATAATACAATTAATTTTTCAACTTCAACGTATGCATTGACAATATTAATAACACAAAAAATGAAAGAATTATAAAATGAATAAATTATAGGCTAGAATATTTTTGTTTTAGTCAAGAATTAGTCGATTACCAGCATATTTAACCATTCAATTCGTTCGTTTCTTCTTTAAAGAGAAAGAGGCTATTAATGCAAAGATTTTGAAAGACGTAAAATTTACGTTAAATTTTGATGCATTCGACTTATGTACGAAAGAATTACAGACTAAGTTAACCCCGATGCGTGAAAAATTCCAGCAACTCGAAGAAGCCCAATTAGAGCTTAGTAATGTTAAAGATAAGCAAGATAAGAAAGAAACTAAGAAGAATGAAACGAAAGAAGAACCATTTTGGTTTCCAGACGGTAAGTTCATTCTTGTACTTTCATATTTTTATAATTTTTTTCTTACCCTATAACAAGAGTACAGTTTAACAAAATTAACTTTAATATCAATATTACGATTTGACTTTGTATTGTTTGTAGTTAAACTATAAAATATTAATTTATCCTAATCTACAAAAACCCATTGAATTTTCAATACATGAAAGTGAATTTTATAAGTAATCTCTAAGTAAATGTTTTACCTTATATGGAATTTTGATTTTCGTGGATAATATATTAGAATATCATCGGTCGAGTCAATCAGAATATATAAAAATTTATAACGAAATTTGTATAATAAATACATGACATACGTAAAATTGTATAAATATACATTTATATTTTATAAAAAAAATTAAATGCTTTATTAATCTCGTAATCATCTAATATTTATTTAAATTTTTTCTATATATATGTAATATATTGTACAAGTTATAAGATAAAATTGGGTAAGAATACGTATCCACATATTAGTGTTAAATGAAATTTTTTTACCGGACCGCAAAACGTTAATAATATGAGGCTGGATCGTAGTTTAATTGCCGATCCCTTAATTAAACAATTAAACTTTCGATCGAATCAGTATTCGTTAAATATCAAAGTTGACGAACCGCTTTCTAGATCTTGGATCGAACAACAGCGGCTATTATACCCTCCAGGCGGTGTTGACTCATCAGGGCCGTACGAGCAGCAGCGGTCACTACGTGGCCTGGGTACGTCAGAAGGGTGATACCTGGCTCAAGTGTGACGACGAGAACATCAGCATTGTGACGAGCGAAGAGGTGCTGAAGCTCAGCGGCGGCGGGGACTGGCACTGCGCCTACGTCCTTCTTTACGGGCCGCGTATCCTCGAGCTACCACTCCGCGAGTCCGAGGTACTGGCGAGCGTCGAGGAGTTCACGGAGGTCATGCCTGTGCATGACTAGTTCATGCCTACGTTGCTTTACATTGCCCTTGGATTTTTAGCGTATCTACACTTCTTTTCGCGCGGGCTCATCGCGAAAAGTCGCTGCTCGTGACGAAGCTTGGTGTATTATGAAGGCTCGAGGCCAATTTCAGCCGCTGAGAGCCAATATCAGGGGAGTGACGTGTGATTTTTTTTTTTTTTTTTTTTTTTTTTTTTTTTTTTTTATCGACCATATAATAAGAAATAACGATCCTTTTTCCCAATAAGAATAGTTGTTATATATATATGTGTGTGTATATATGTGTGTGTAAGCCTGTAAGCACGTATGTATATATTTATGTGTGTAAAGCATGTATGTATATGTATACATATGTATATATATCGAGCGGAATTATTTATTCTTGAGGAGAGGGACAGCCTTTTGAAGCCAAATTATTATTTTTACATAATGAAAGCCAATATGCTTTTCCGTAAGCTAATATGGTCATGCTTTTAAAGGAACCTATTCTTGGCATCTTATTTAACATTATGCCTATCGAATTAAATAAATGTTCCTTCCGATGTACGATGAAATTCTTTCGTTTTAATAAAGTTTTTTTTTTTATTGATTTATCTGAATTTTCAATTTACTCACACCTCACTTAACGATTATATTTTATAGTGAATTAAGGCGATTTACAAATAATGGCCATTCTTACTCATATTTCTATTGAAAATCTCTATTTTATTGGCACCACTGGCAATTAAGAATTGTGGCAGTGCTACAATATAAATTTAATTACAGAATGCGCAATTAAAATTTAATCATAAAAGATCTTGGAGTAGATTTCGGCCTTAAACGAATTGTGTATTCTGGCTCCAATCTTTACACTAAATATGTCTCTTACTTGCACTTGTTAAATACATTTTATTTACTATGCTGGTATTTTACGTACTTGCAAGAGCTGAACATTCCTCCATTGGCGCGAAATCAGATTTATTTTTATTTAAAAATATATTAATTAATATCAGAGAATATCAGAGCAGCCGGATACGAAGTTTTCACGATGTTATGATTTTTTTAGTCCTTCCAATATATTCTTGTTGTGCTCGTTATATTTAGAAACATAATTTTTATAAAAACCAATGAAATATGATTGCAAGATGGATACGCTAAAATGATAAGATAAAGGGTTTGTGAGCGGAAGTTCGTCTTTGATTAGATATTACTTGAAATAATATTATAATATCGATGAAACGAACAGTTGTCTACAGAATTACATTCGGGCATGCAACGATGTTGTTGGCATCTGCATTTTTTATAGAATCACTTCGAATTTGTAATCACCAAGAGCATTGCCTAAACATTTACATTGTTTAACCAAATATTATTGCGGTTAAGATTGTCGGGTGCCTTAATTTTATACTCTGGTGAAAATTAGAAAAATGTCAATTCTTTTTTATAATTCGTTTCTAGAGGGAACTCGCCAATAAATTTCGTGATTTTTTAACCTATTGTTAAAGAAAATATAGAGGATAATTGTATGCCATCGTTATCTTCTTCTATGATATTAAAAAAAGTATAAAAAAAATTTGCTTCTTGTGTATTTATTTTATAAAATATTGATAAAACTCTTATTTTTAATATAAATATGATACTATCCCAATTATAATTTTTATTTTTATTTTTAATGACAAAATTTTGACAACGCAGGTGCTTGAATTAATATATGTAATGCGTCTCGATGTTTTAACACGGATTTAAAAACTATTTGATCTAAAATTGTTTTTGTAATTAATTTATTGTAATATTTTATACAATTATATTGATTATTGTTTATAAACTTTTTGATAAATTTATAGTAATGTACGGTTATATTGTAGTGTAATGTAATCAAACATTTATAATTAGTATTTGATATTTTCTATATTTTTATGATAAATATATATTTCAATAATTTGCTTCAAAGTAAATGAATATCTTACAAGGCATGTTATTATATTTAAATAAAAAATAATATACATATATTTAATTAAATATTGGTAGAATATATAAATACAAAATTTAATATAAAAATTAAAATAATATATAAATATTTGTAAATTGTTATATTAGATATCAATTATTTTCAAGAAATTTTATGCTTATATTTTTCTTAATTTAATATTTGAATCGTTAATATATTTACGAAATAATTAATTGGAATATATTCCAATTATACATAAAATGTTTATAATACATATATATATATTTTTTTTTTCAATTATTTCTAAGTACATAAGTAAAACATCTGATATTTTTTGGAAACTTATTACTTCATACTTTGCAGTTAAACAATGAAAAAAATTTTTTTTATTAATTAATTACGTATATATATATATATATATATATATATATATATAGATATAATTATTTATTTATTTGTAATTTTATATCTCTGATTTTATGTATATCGAGATAAATATTAGGAAAAATCATACACTATTTTTCGGCTGAACTTAAAAATTCTTAAAAAACTTAAAAATTATTAGATAATATATTCGTATCTTATAAAATTTATAATTTTAACACTTACAATACGTATGTCTGAATTTATAGAAAAATCAAAATATTACAATCTAGTTTTATATTATAAAAACATAAAAATAAATTTCAATTTAAACAAAAATGTAAAACTTTACTAACTTTAGATTAGATTAGATTTTATGTATCTGATTGTTCAAAGTATTAATTGAACTGTTAAAATAAAAAAAAAATATATAATTTCCAAAGCCTACACTACAAACACAAGTTTTAATATCATTATAAAATTGTATCATTATAGTATAAAAAAAGTAATGAAATCTTTTCGAAGTTTGCATTTGGAGTTCGTTTATTTGGCCGTAAATTATGCCTCGAAATTGAAAATACTTAAAAAAAATCTCCAGCTTATATGATGATGGCAGGCTTAAATCTTAAGCTTCTACTCATTAATGAATAAAGGGATATCGATGTCGATCTTCTCTATCTTCAACGTGCAAGCGAATGGCGTTACTAATAGCGTCGCGTCATTGCAAAATCGACGTCGTGTTGCATAAATTACACGGAAACCAATCCCCATATGTTCGTATGTGCCGTGTGCATAATGCTAAAGATATTTTTCCTATTATTCTGAGGCAGCGACACTTTTCTTCCATCATATTGTGAAATTGAGGATTTTACATAGCGGGGTGTCATTGCAAAAGCTGGTCGGGTACAATAAATAATAAGTTCAATGACACAACGCATTCAGCTGCTAATATATTATTTATGTGATAATATGCAGAATTAGTCATTATTTTAAGGTGAATATTCATCGATATCAGAGATACAATTAAACGAAATTCGCAGCATGTAATTGTTTTGTATTTTTTTTTTTTTTTTTTTTTTTTTATAATTGCAGTTTACACGTCGTATGTAAACATAAATTTATGAATACGTAAGTGAAAATACGACTTATGATTTTCTTTTGAACGATCATCCTTCAATATTATACGTTAATCGTTACTTTTTATACTTGCATTAAGTAATTATTTTACTGTTGTTTTTAATATATATTCAAAACTTTCTCCACGCGCACTTCTTATTAGATGGATTATATAATGTGATTTGGTATCTTAGCATAGCCATTGTTGCATTATTGTTCGTACATATTACTCAATAATCTTGTTTAAATTAACAATCCTGATTAATGCAACAAAGATAATATATAAGATAACTAAGTTCTGTGATGAATGAAAATTAATTTTATTACTTATATTATTATGCACATCTGTTTGAAATGTATAAGCCATTAAAATAAAAATGATATATGTATATCATAAATCAATGTGGTGCTTTTATTAAAAAGTAAGTAGGCAAATGAAACGCTTAAATATCAGAAAAGCAAATTTAATTTTATTTTATGTGATAGGTATTATTTTTGTATTAATTAAAGGTATAAGCATTTGCGATATTATCTATTCATTATTAAATATAACTATAATATAATATATTTCTATATTATATTCATATACTTTTATGATGTTTTACATTCAGTATTTTAAATACATTTGACATTAAAATTTTTGTATTATTCGATGGGATTAAAAGATGTAAAACATTTATAATATAATATTTTTCAGTATGATTCCATTAAATTAGCTTTAATTATTTGGTTGGATTGTTTCGAATTTATCAATTAGTCGTTAAAAATTTAATGAATCCATAGAGTTTCAAGTATTTATGGCAAATTTGTTTCTTTGTTTAGCAACGAAAATGGAACGCTATAGACATTTAACAAATGTTAGCAATGCTGTATAATATTTTCCAAGTACCAGCATAGAGAATAAATTTCTTAATATTTTGACAACTGAATATCTATTAATTTTAATTTGGGAATTTAAATTTACCAAAGATTTACTGATATTGTTCAAAAGATATGTTTTCGTATTGTCTTATGTACGATTGTGTCCATAATTTTCATTACAATTTCGTTCATTCAATCCAATTGTATCAACTTCATTAAACTTAAGCTTTCATATGAAAAAATTTCTCTAAAATTACACTTAATACGTTCTGCATTTATTAAAAATTATATTAAATCATTTGAAGAGTTTTAAAGCTTATTAGCATATTGATTAAAACACGCATAAAATAGTATTGCTTTTATTATATTTTGTTGTTTGCGTTCATTCGTAGTTATTGAAATATTATTTTCATTATTACATTGTGTATTTATATTGAAATATGCTCGAGCTTTTTAATTTCCCCAATCAATAAGTAGATTTTCTGATAAACTTGCAAATTAAAACTTTTCTCGTTTTTCCGATAAGTATTAAAAGAATTCTTTTATTTAAATTCTACAATAGCCATTGTATCTATACCAAAATTATAGTATAGATAGTTATTTTTGTTTGTATATATAGTTTCAACCTTTGTTAGTATATATCTATTCAGAAACATATAATTTTTTATTATATTGTTTTGTCGTTCGTAGGATTCATCTACTCTTAAATGTTTTATCTGATTACTTTTATGCTTCTTCTTGTCTTAGAATTTGATTTCACAATTAACCTTCATTGAATAATTTCTGAGTTTATTCCGTGCTGAATAAAATTATTGTATTTCTTTTTTTCGATCACCTGATGACGTTGGGTCAGCATGACGCGCTATGAAAATCAATTATAACCTCAGTTTTTTTTTTTTTTTTTTTTTTTTTTTTTTTT